TGGCGCGCTTCGGCGAAGGAGGCGCAGCGCTGTATTAACTGCCATTCCTCCCCCTTGGAAGGGTGTCATCTCCTTCCTTGGCTAGTGCCCCAGAGCCAATGCGCGAGGTTTTGGCGATGCATCTGGGCCCATGCCGCTGCGTAGCAGATCCTGCCGAACTGCTTGCTTTTGAAAAGGTCGGGATGCCGCTTCAGCTGCAGCAGGGCCCGAGCGGCTTTCCGTTCGGTGAGCATCTTGGGTTTGGGGGGAACGACTCGGGCACGTGGGCAGCATGTATCCCCCATTTCAAAAAAATGCCCCACCTGATACTTGCTCGCTTTCTGACGGGGATGGGCCCCCAGAAATCATTGAGTTCGCGTGATCTGGCGGCCATCGCTCGGGCCGTCGCGGCAGGTCACCTGGGGGCGCCCTGCACCTGGAAGCGAACGCCCACACCCGTTAGGACGAAGTCAGGGATCCAGGAGGATCCGGCCAGGCCAAGAGCGGCCCTTAGTTGGGCTCTTAGCTCGCGCCCCTGAACATGGTCGGAGGGAGCGCAGTGAGAGGCGCAGGGCGCCAGAGAGACCAGATACGCGGTCCAGGCGGCGGCTGCGCGCGAGGGGGGCATCTTTGCCAGGTGCGGAGCCATGGCCCCTTCTCGGATTTTGGGGAGGGGGCGATCCCATGTGCCTTTGCACAGGGCGTCTTCCTGCTCTTTAGTGAGCCCCCCGCTCTCTGGGGGCTCGTCGCCTTCCGCGGCGCGGGAGACCACCACGGCTCCCAGGTAGGGCCATTGGTCTCGCACTGAGGAACCTCCGAAGGGGGTGCGCTCCACGAGGGCTCGCCACCATTCGTGATTGCCGGCTGGAACGAGGGCAGTCTTGAACGTGCAGTTGCAGGGGCGTTGAAAGGGAGACCAGTTGGGTCGGCACTGCCCTGCGCTACCTACCGCGAGTGCTTGGATGAGCTCACTGGGGAGCCCGGAGATGAGCACGCTGTCACCGTCTTGTTCGTAGTGGACGGGGGCCTCCTCCAGCGCGGCTCTGAGCGCTGCGGAGTCCTCGGCGCGCATTCCTCTGCAGTGGCGGGCCTCGACCAGGAGCCCCGCGGCCTTGGCAGCCCGCAGGAGAGCGTTGCGCTGAGTAGGGCGGCGAGGTCGTCGACACAGGTGGGATCATCGCCCCCCGTTACGGAGGAGATGGCCGTGATGAGGGGGTCGTACCCCATGCTCCAGAGGAGCGGGGAGGCGGTGCCACCCATTCCAACAGACCTCAGCAGGCGCCGTTCAGGACCTTTGTACTTTCCTTTGCATACCCGAACTCTTCGCTCGGCGACCAGTGAGTTGAGGGCCTGGAGCATCCACGAAGGGAGCTTCCATCTACGAAGGAGGCAGTCTATCCATTGAAGAGATATTCTTTCAAAGGCCTTCTTCTGGTCGCAAAAGATGACAGCTGTGCCAGAGGCGTCACCCATCATGGAGGCAGCGCGGTCGATGAATGCGTCGACAGCGTCTGTGTGTCTTCCCAGGAGCGCCTCCCATGCCGGGCCTGGTGCCTCCGGGGGCTTGGGGGGGGAGCTGAAGTGCCGGATCACCTTTGTGATGTTGGGGCCGCATTGTCCTCCTCGCTTGGCAGCTCGCTTGCAGCCTGGCTGGGGCTCAGGAGTGTTTCGACGGCCGGGCCTATTAGGTCGGCCAGGGAGGCGCCGTACAGCCGTCGGATTCAGGTGGGGAGTTGTAGCGGTCTCATGTCGTTGGGGGCTTCGGCGCCTGGCTTCTTTCCTATCCAAACAAGTAGGTCGACAGAGGGCCCTAGCACCTCCTCGATGAGAGACGGGTTGAGGTCAGCGGCGTATCAAGCTTGGGCGATGAGGCATGCGACGAATATCGCTCCTGGGTGATAAGCTTCGTACGGCACCCTGTCCACCCCTGGGGCGCTTCCTCCGGGGGCGAGGACAATGGCGGCCAGCTTTGCCCAACTTGGCCTGGGCCTGTCTGTGGCCTCGATGCCGGGGTGCCGCTGGAAATAGAGGTCGAGCAGACGCTGGGCCGAGCCGGGGATAGGGGGTGTGGAGTGCCAAATGGTACTGCGGCTGTCCCAAAGAACGTTGTCGATCTGGTTGGGAATATCATGCCATGTTCCGTTGCGGTCGCGCACGCCTAGGATGGCGTGGGTTTTCTTGTATATATCCCGCCCCGTCCTGTAGTGGGCTGCAAGGGGTGAGCGTTCCGCCCCGGGACCTCGCTGAGAGGGGGATAATTGCGCAGCTCTTCTTTGCGTGACCTCGGCGTCCCACGTCCTGAACCACCGGACAGCCTGGTCTTGGGTTAGGTCTTGTCCGTCCCACCCGTATTCGTAGAGCCAAGCCGCCAGTGTTCCAACTGGGCGTGTCGTCTCACTCTTCTGACTAGCTGCTGCTAGCAATAGGCCGGGGGAAGCACGCGTTCGGTGCGTTTTCAATTTTTTCCACCAGTCCCGAAACGCTGAGCACAGGGAGTGCCTGCCAAACCTCATGAGGGTAGGGAGGACAGGCGGGGAGGGGCCGCCGTCCACAGGCCCTCCAACCGCGCCTGTCCGCTCACTGGGGGGATTGACGAGTGAGGCGTCGCCGTCGTCGTTGTCCGGGTGTCCGTCGGGGAAACCGCCCAGGCAGGCTGGTCTGATCCAGTCGGTCGGCTGGATGAGGCCGCTCAGGCTGACCGGCGGAACGCCGAAGTAGAGCTCGAGGTGGGCGTATAGTTGGCGGAGTTCCGCGTGCGCGGCGGTCGGGAGATTCCTGAGGTCTGCGGCTTTCATGGTGTCGTCCCTTCTGGCCCTCCTCGCACCATGTGGTTCGAGTGTTATGAGGGCATGGTCCGACAGCGTGAGTCTCCACAGCTTGTGGGGTTCGTACGCGTGGACATGTTGGATTGGGCATGCACACATGTCGATCTGAGATTCGCTATCCCTGTCGATTCTGGTGGGGCCGGGCATGTGAATGACGGTTGAACCGGAGCTGGTTAGAACGTCCCTGAGGAGGGCTGCAGCCTCCACCTCCCCATCTCTTGGGTGTTCAAGCTGTAGGTTGACGTCACCACCCCAATATGTGTCGAGCGGCTCCCGCTGCTCCGCTGCTATGGCAATGCCTGCAAGGGTGTCCTCCTTTCTGGTAGGGGGAGGTACACAGAAACTAGGCGGATTCTCCTTTCGCCCTGCTGTACGGTGGCGGCGATGGCGCAGCCAGGGACCAGGATTTGCTGCTCCAGGAGTGGGGTACCGTGAGGGAGGAGGATGCCGACCCCTCCAGCGAGTCCTCCCGTTGGCCCGAGGTACCCAGGGGAGGCTACCAGTGTTCTCGCAGGAAACATGGTCCTCCAAACCTCAGCTTCATGCTCCGACCAGCGAAGCGTCTAGAATTTAATGATTTGGTTTGGGATGTTTGGAAGATTCTGGCGGTCTTGCCCCAAGACGGCACAGAATGCCACCAGCACCGGCACAGGAGGCCCCCAAGAGGTCCCCAAGACGGTTCCAAAACTACCCAAAAGAGCCCCTAGACGGTCCTTGAAGCCCTCAGACGGCCCAAAAGGCACCCAAAACCGCTCAGAGAGGGTGCCCAAACGGGACCCAAGAGGCCCTCAAGAGGTCCCCCACGCCACGAGGCCCCAAGAGGCCCCCAAGCGGCCCCAGGAAACCCGAAGGGACTCCCAAGAGGCTCCCGAGAGGCCCCCAAGATGCTCCCAAGAGGCCCCCCCGAGATGCTGCTCACAAAAAGCCCCCATGAAAATGCCCCCCAGAGGCCTGCGAGCGAGTTCTGAAGAGGCCCCACGAGGCATCACTGAGCTGAGAACTCTGCCCCACGTCAGCGTCGTCGTCGCCGCTGACGCCGCCGTCGTGGTCGTCGTCCCCCTTCAAGGTCGGCGGCTCCGGCAGCAAGGCCTTCCCAAGGAGGATTGAGCCAACATGGCCATGGATGTCATCGCCGTGGATGCGAAGATGACAGCGACGGCGGTGACGGAGATGGCGACGAGGCATCCCTCGCGGCCGCGATCACCCTCATCTACATTGCACCCCGTCACGCGGATCGGTTCCCAGCAGGGTATGCCTGCTTCGTCTGGATAATACGATGGAATGGGAAAACGTGTGTACCACTTCCTCCTGGTGAGCCAACAGGATGGCATGCGCAGTACTGAGGGCTTCGGTTGTGTCCTTGGTTTTTAAGAGGTGCCTCTGGCGCAGCCACCTGCCCTTTTGTCGACCAGCTCTTTGTCCGAGTCGTAGACTGCAAGCTTGGAAGCACTGTGCCAGAACCAGAGACGACTTTGCAGGTCCTTCGACGGGTCAAGGACGACGCATGCAGGCGAGGATCCACCTTGCTGCTGCGACGGTCCGCTCTTCTGGGCCAGCTGTGACACCGAGAGCTGGGTGAAGTGCCGTTGCAGCGCCTTGCCATCTTAGAAAATTCAATGACTTCCTTGCTGCCAGTGCTCTTGGGTGGCCCTTCCTCCCACTTGCGGCCCTTGGGCGGCTTGGACGGGCCTCCTCCAGCGATGACTTTCTCGTGGGATGCCCGTGCTGTTTTCCCGCACAAGCATCGTACTCCCCAGTTATCACTCTGACTGCGCTTCCCACACGACCAGCGAAGTCCTCTTGGACCGAATCGAGCAGCCTTCCCCTGCATCACATAACGTAAGCGAACGGCAAAAACATATGGGCAGAAACGTAGCACTGTATACACAAGCAAGCACTGTGGAGTGCCAGCGAACTGGCGGGCCCCTTCCTCCTCAGTGCCAACACAGTGTAGTTCCTGAGGTTCCTGCTACAGACCTCCTCCTTGACTTCCTCTTCCTTCCCCTACCCTTCTTCATCCTCATCCTCATCCTCATCCTGATCCTCATCCTCACCCACCTCATCCATCCATCATCCGCCTCCTACAGGGGGTGGGTCACGGCAGCGAAAGAGCAGCAGCAGCAGCAGCAGCAGTCCCAGCCGCCGACGACGACGACGACAGCGGCGGCGGCGGCGACGGCAGCACCAAACAGCATCCTGTCCGCCCTGGCGATGGTCGCGGGCAGAATCTGGATCCTGCGCTCCCTCTCAGAGGAGAGAGGGGGGGGTGCAAGGGACCGAAGATAGGGAGAGGAGGAGGAAGAGAGAGCGAAGAGAAAGGAGGGAGAACGGGTATGACGGAGAGAGAGGAGGGAAGAAAGAGGGAGAGGAGGGAGGGAAGGACGGGGAGGGAAAGGAGGGGAGGGAAGAGAGGGGGGGGAGGAAGAGGAGGGCAGGGAGGGCGGGCTGAGGAGGGAAGGGGGGAGGGCAAGCTAGGTGCGTTCGCGTCATATCTGTCGCCCCACCCCTCCGTCACATCCCTTACCATGGCGTAGTTACCCCCTCTATTCGCTTAGTCGGATGTCGAGCAGGGCAATGATCGCGAGAGGGTACGCGAGGCATGGTAGAGCACGGCATGGCATGGCTTAGAAGAGCACGGCAGAGCGTAGCATGCCATAGTACGGCGTGGCAGTGAGGCACTCGATCACAAAACGTTGCAACGCAAAGCATGGCATCGCACAACGGCGCAGAACACAACACCGCACAGCATGCCATGGCATGGCGCCAGGCTCCTTGGAGGGTAAGTGGATCGCCTTCGAGAGGTCTGGGCCGGTCTGGAATCGCGGTTCCATGTCTAGCTCCTTGGGTTATCCGAAAAGCTTCACGCAAGCCGGGGCTGATGGAGGGAGCCTGCTGGCTCTGCGTTCAACATCACCTTCTCAAAGCAGAAACGGGGCTCCCGCTTGATACTTCCTGAAGACGGGGACGCCCCAAGTGGGGGGCTTCTGCGGCCCGAAAGATCAACGAATCGACACCGACTGCGTAATCACTTGGGATGGTTCTTTCGGGGGGCCATATGCTAGATTATGGAGCTTATTTGGAAGGAAGGCCAGCGCCACAGCGGGAGCACGACTCGGAACGAGTGGAAGCGCGGAAATGAGGCCAACGCTGTAGCGGGAGCACGATTCGGAACGAGCGGAAGCCCGAAAATGTGGCCAGAGCTTCAGCGGGAACAACATTGTTTAACAAACCCAACCAAAAAACGGAAACACAACTCCCAGGAATCGTGTGCAAAACAAACAATACGCGAAGGGTGACCGGATATCTTCCGGACGTCATCAGGGGAGAGAGGAGAGTAGTATTCATACTGTGTAATTGTTCGGCGGTGGACAAACCTCCCTTTAATAACCCCGCCTTAATGAAAACGGCCTGGGACCGAATTCGACGGACCTAGACTCGCAAAAATGACGGCCGCGACGCCCTCTCGCGAACCGAAAACGGCCAATTCCTTAATCCACGTGTCAGGGTAATCCAGAAGCAGCATTAAAGTGATCATTTGTTTTTTGGCCCCCCCTCTGTCACAGAGGGGCCCTAAGATGCCCCCCCTCTGTCACGGAGGACCTCGTTCTGGGTGCTCTTCTGCCACGGGAGCTCCCGATACGATTGGAGACGATAAAATGTGATGGCGGGATGGGGGATTGGAGGGGGAGGGAGAAGAAAACGATGAAGGAGAGGAGGCAACGACAGCACCGATGAAAGCACCGTTTCTTTTTCCTTCTCCGCTCGGGCAGCGGCCGCCGAGCACGACGGCGCGCGCGACTCGCCGCCGCCCACGATGCACTGGCAGGGCCTCCGCTGCTGCGGAGGGTCGACGTTCGGCCGACGAGGCCTCCCTCCGCTGCTGCGGAGGGGCGGCCCCTGTGCGATGGTTCAGCTAAGTTCTTCCAAGGGATTGGTCTCGGAGGGGTGTTCGACCCACCTCCAGTGCGTCGTATTCGTGGCCTCCCAGTGCCCCTGGCCGCCACTCCACCCACCGCGGCTGCTCCACCAGTCACCGGGGCGCGGGTCGCTGCCGAATGCAACTTGCATGTCGCGCCAGGCGGAGTCGACCCTGCGGTCCTGCACCGAGGAAGCCTCGCCGCTCGGCTGTTGCCACTCGCGCTCCTCGCCCTCCCTGGTGCGCCACCAGTCCCACGATTTGCCGCGCCACTCATCCCTGCGCCACACCCTGTCTGTTGGGCGCTGCCATGGCGTCTGTGGCCCCCGCTGCTGCGGGGGCTCTGGCGGCTGATGCCGCGGCGCCTCCCGCGGCTGCTGCTCTTGCAACCCTTGCCCTCGCTGCTCCAGCGGCGCAGGCCCTGGTGATGGCCACTGCGGGGTCGGCTGCCACCTTGGGGGTGATAAGTAACTATTTCTATAATTATCCCCTTCCTGTCAACTCCCGCCCCTTCCCGACACTCACTTCCTTATGTCATCCCTCGTCCTGCTCAGCCTATTCCTCATTCCCTCTCCTCCCTCCTGCCCTCCCCGTGCCCCACCCTCCCTCTCCCCCCCTCCCCCTTTCAACCCCCCGCCGCGACCTTCCATCGCCAGCCGCGGGCCAGTCGCGGTCGTCGTCCGCGTTTTCGTCTGCCCATCTTGGTGGGCGCCACGCCTGTTGAGCGCGCTCGTCTTGCTCGCCCCTCTCGCGGTGCTGCTCTGGCGCCTGGCGCTCGGGTCCGTGCTGCTCGGGCGCCGCTGCTGCGGCGCCCTGGAGCGGAGCTGCTTGCTGTTTCTGGGCGCGCCTGTCCTTCTTCTCTTTGTTTCTCTCGTGCTTCCTTCCCTGCGAACGCGAGCTGGCCATGCGCATGTGGAACAGGAGGGGGCAGTGGGCGCCGCCGTGCCAGCGCCCCTCCACCTACACGGTCTCCGGCGGGAACGTCTTCTGCAACGCGCGGAAGAGGGTCACCTCGCGAACACTAGAGAAGCGGTGGTCCACTCTAGCCTCAGCCTCGGCGCGCCTCTGTTTCTCACGCTCCTTCTCTTGGATCATGCGTTGGCATTCCTCTGACTGAGTCAGTAAATCCTGGAGGTGCTCGCGGGCGTCTCTTTTCGGGTAGTAGCGATCGTAAGGCATCCCAGGGCCTCCTTCCTGGCAGCGGTGCCAGTGCGTCGGCTCCGATGATGGGCTGGTGGAGGCCCCCGCTGCTGCGGGGGCCTCTGCCTTGCTTCTGTTACGGTACCCGATCTCACCGATCACCGACTTGCGTGCGAAGAGCAACCCCGTCTCGTCTCTGTCGCGCACGGCGCTCAGCGGCCAGCACAGGGTTTACTCGCCAGGCCTGTTGAGAACGAAGATGCCGCAGCTGTCCAAGCACGGGGCGCCGCCCAATCCGCGCCAGAAGTACGCTGCTGCCGTCTCCAATCGCAAGCCTAGACCCCGAAGACTCGGAAGCGTCTATGTGAGCGCCATATTGAAATCCCCACAAAGGATGTCAACCTTGTTCTCCTGCAAGATGGCCGCCAGCCTCGGCCACCACGTCTTGTGAGCCTCCTTGGAGCCTTTGGAAGCTTTCGCCGTGTCGCGGCGGAGGCGCACCGCGCACGCCCGCACTTCCGAGCCGAAGTGGGCGTAGGTTTGACCGAAGTAGACCTCAACCACCATGATCCTCGAGAACGCTTCCCTCTTGTTCCTTTTTCCAGTTTTGTAGTGGCCGTCGACACTCCTTTCCCAGTGGAGCAGCCGCATTCCGTGGCACAGGTTTGCGCGCGCAGCGATGCACAAGGACTTGTCCTCACGCCCGCGCAGGGTCAAGTATTCGTTGGAGCTGTTGGCAGTCGCCAACACTCGCAGCACGACTCCCTCTTGCTGTCGCCATCGCTGCTGCGGGGGCGACAAAAGGCCCACCGCTGCTGCTGCTTTGGCCCTCCGCTGCTGACGCCCCCGCTGCTGCGGGGGCGTCCGCCTGCAGCGGCGGTGGTTTCCCTGGCCGCTGTAGGATTGCCTCCATCTGCTCCTCACATTCCGCAAAGCACGCCACGAGAGCAGGGCAACGCCGCAGCTGCAACTCAAGTCTCCGCCGCTGGTCCGCGCTGTTGGTCTCGCTCGGCATGGGGCCCCAGTTCCCGAACAGGACGGAAAGGTTGCCCACGTTGTCGTTCCGCTGCCTGTTCACTTCAGCCGCTCTACGCTCGCAGAAGAGCTGGAGCGGGACGGCGTCGCGAAGAACGCACCTGCGCCGCTCGACGTCGACGGGCGGCGCGCAGCCCCCAAAGGCCGGCTGATCGCGCCGCTTTTCCTGAGGCTCTTTCGTAATCGCTCGGATCCACCACCGAGTCGCCTGGGCGGGTGCGCATCGTGGAAACTTCTGATCGCGCCGCCGCTGCTGAGCTTGAAACGCCAGGCGGCGCAGCCCCCGCTGCTGCGGAAGCGCCCTCTGACACAAGGGCCCAAGGACCCTTCCAGGGTTGTTCGTGACCACCCACAGGTCGCCAAACCTTCCCACACTTCGCTGTATACACTGCCGACAGTCGGCCCCGAGGCCCCGCTCCTGCGGGGCCCAAAGGGCTGCTGCTGCTGCTGCTGGCCGCGGCCATCACTCGCTGCCCCCGCGTTGCAGGGGGGGCGGCCGTCAGAGCCGGACTCCTGGGGCCGAAACGGCGGTGGAAGGAGGGGGGCGGGGCGAAGAGGAGGAAGACGGGGCGGATAGGGAAGGAAAGGGCGGGCAGAGAGAGAGGGAGAGAGAGAGAGAGAGAGAGAGAGAGAGAGAGAGAGAGAGAGAGAGAGAGAGAGAGAGAGAGAGAGAGAGAGAGATGAGAGAGGGTAGAGAGAGGGTGAGAGAGGGTAGAGAGAGGGTAGAGAGAGGGTAGAGAGAGAGAGAGAGAGAGAGAGAGAGAGAGAGAGTGAGAGGGAGAGGAGAGGGAGAGAAGAGGAGAGAGAGAGGAGAAAGGAGAAAGAGAGAGAGAGAGAGAGAGAGAGAGAGAGAGAGAGAGAGAGAGAGAGAGAGACGGACGACGATAACGAGAGAAAGAGAGAGAGAGAGAGAGAGAGAGAGAGAGAGAGAGAGAGAGAGAGAGAGAGACGGACGACGATAACGAGAGAGAGAAAAAGAGAGAGAGAGAGAGAGAGAGAGAGAGAGAGAGAGAGAGAGAGAGACGGACGGACGGACGCGGAGGAGGGAGGAATGAGATAATGACCAGGAGGGTGATCAGGGAGAAGGAGGGGGGAGAGCAGGAGGAGGGGCGGAGTGATCGACACCCGCGTGGTTTTCTCCCCC